TATTTCTTTTCAGAGGAAACTGGAAAAGTGGTCAATTCACCCCCATTTCACTTCTCCAGCAAATTCATTCACAGGACCATAGATGGAGAAGCAGAGGGACACGCAAAGGTTATTTAATCCATCACTGTTATTTTACAGATAGAGAAACTGAGGCTCAGTAAGGTTGTGATATTCTCAAGTGGATCATCCAATTACCCTCATTTTCTCTGTCCCTACTTCACCACCACTCTTTCCCTTTTTTTTTTTACCAGTCCCTTGCCCAACCCCTCCTGACTCCTCTGATAGTGTGAGATGAGTACCTAAACTTGTTTCGGAAACAGCTGCTGACATAAGAAAAATCTGGAAAACCTTTCGTCTGTGGAGCTGAATGACTGTGGATAAGGCCTCGGTTTTCATCTCTGTGAAATGGGCCCATTACCCTTCATAAAATCACAAATCTAGACCTGGAAAGGTACTCAGAGGCCATCTAGTTCAATCATCTACATTTTACCGATAAAGAAACCGAGAGTGGAAGCTATTAAATAACTTGTCCAGGGTCAGGCAGCTAGTAAATGTCAGAGGCAGTATTTGAACTTTAGATCTTCATGATTCTAAGTCTATTCAATGTGTTATGCTTCCTCTTTGCTTACACAAGAATACTAATTGATTTGTAAAGTATTAAGGAAAATTTCTGAGCACCATGAGCTGTGGCAGGACCTTATGTGGCCATCTCGTCCAGCCTCCTGTCTCCTTGCAGGATTTCACCTAAACCAGTGGAAGGAGATGAGGCTTTCTCATTTCTGAAGCTTCCAAAGAGGGAGTCCCCACAGCTGGTTTCTTCAGTTGCCCTTTTTCCTCAGTCCTTTGTCCTCAAGGCCACTCTGGTTTGTGAAATTCTCAGAGGCTAGTGATGTTCCCTCTGCATGCTAACATTTTGTGGAAGTGATGGGATGAGGTTGGTTTTGCTACTCCATGCCTGCACAAGCCTGGGAAAACGATATTTCCCTTTTTCTAGACCTCAGGTTTCTTTATCTGCAAAATGAGGGGGTTGGACCAGATGATTTCTAAGGTTTCTTCTAGCTCCGAGTTGTTGATTTTCTAATGTCTGATCTCAGAGTTCTTTTGGCCTCACCTAAGGGGGAAGGGAGTTGGGAGTTGCTTGGCAGTGGACATCCACAGGTGACTTTCCCTTGGAGCCCTCAGGGCTAAAGGAAAAGCCCAGGCTCTCTTCTGGGAGTTTCAGCCACTCTTCCCCTTGCCTCAGCCCCACTTATCCAAGCCTGTCCATTCCCAAAGTCATTTAGCCAGCCTCTCTTCTTTGTCCTTCTCTTCTTCTCCCTTCCTCCTCCCAGTGGATTGTGAGCTAGAAACATATTTCCAATCTAGAATAGGGTGCTGGGCAAAACCAGCTGTTCAACTCCATGCTGCAGGAAGGAGATGATATCCCTGAATCTCCCCCCAAGCTTCCTACAGGGCATCTTTGGAAGACTATTTGGTGTCTCCAACCAAGGCAAAAGGGTCCAGAAGGGAGCCTGGTGCTTTATTAACTAATCTCTGGTACTTGAGTAATTTATTATGTTTAAGCTGGTGCCATCAAGTCTCTCAGCAGTGCCTGCGTGCGCTGGGAAATAAATTAAAGGCTGTCCAAAGATACTTGGATCATCTGTGTGATTGCAGGGCTGGCGAGATGGAGGTTTAAGGTTCTCTCTTCCTTCAAATTGGAAATTAGGAATTAATAAGACAGCAGGCCAAAGAGCCAGGGTAGTGGCGATGACTTGGCTGCGGGGACAGGGGGGTGGGGGAAAAGGGAAAAGAAGGCGGCTGCCCACAGGGGAAGGAAGGAGAGAGGATCATGGCAGGGGCAGCCAACCTAGTGGGCAATCAGGGCAGGGGAAAAGGGCCTCTTTGACCTCATATGGCTGGGGTGAGAGTTTCTGAGGTCCTACTGAACTTGAATTTTTTTACTTTTTAGGGAATTAAGCCCTGGCAACATGGTGGGGGTAGGAGGTGGGGGAGGGCAGTGTTAGGGATTCTGGACAAGGAGCCATAGAGGGTGTACAATGAGGTAAGTATCATGTAGTTCAGCCCAGACTCAGTCAGTCAGTCAGTCAACAAATTTACTATGTGACCTGGCATTGTGCTGGGAACACAAAGAAACAAAAGCAGCCTTTACTCTCGAGGAGCTTACAATCCAATAAGGAAGACAACACACAAACAATTATGTCCATGTGAGATACTGTAATAGGGTTAATTGGAGGTAATCCGGAGGTAAGGTGCCAGCACTGAGGAATGGGGTAGGGGTGGGGGGTGAATATGGGATTTAAACTGAGTCTTGACTGAAGCCAGGGAAGGCAGGAGATGGAGGTGATGAGGGGAACATTCTAAGTGTGGGGGAGAGCCAGTGAAAAGGCAGTGGGGAGATGGGAGCATCATGTTTGAGAAACAGCAAGAGGCTGCTGTTGCTGGGTGGTAGACTTTGTGGAGGGGAGCAAAGTGACCCACTCAGGCCCAGGAATATACAAAAGCGGGGCAGGAAGACTGACTCTTGACCTGATGTCTATCGAAGGCTACAGATTCTGAGCCTTTGAGAGTTGTGGGTCTCAGGGTTCTCAGATTCTGAAGGGAAGATAGTAGATTCTGGGATGGAACATGAGGATAGGGTGACAAGCTTGGGAGAAGAGTATTTTTAGGTAGGGGAAAGCTTTAAACAGCCCTGGATGCCAGGGAATTGGCAAGATGCCAGCTGGAGCACTGGGCAAGAAATGTAGCCTCTTTCTTCCCTGATTAAATACAAATGGAGAATTCTACAAGGTGCCTCCAATTCTTTGCCAGTGGGTCCAAGCAAACAGGTCTAGAAAGGCAGGACTATGAGGCTGCAAGAGGGATGCCTATTGCCTGGAGATATCCCCAACCTGCCCCATTCCAGCCTCCCCTGGGATGCTTTTTATCTGAACGACAGCTTCTCCAACCCCTTTTCTTCACCACCTTCTGGTCTTAGAGCCCACATGACTCCAGGACAGGACTCCATTCAGCCCCAGGCCAGTCTCACTGCTGTTACTTTGGACTTTTCATTGTACATAAGTTGCTAACTGGGGAAGCAAAGATACTCCCATGCTTACTTCAGGTTGAAGCTGAGGCCATAGAGCGAGCTAGGCTAAAACCCGCTGAAGGAACCCAGGCCTGTAGTTGGAGAGTACTAACACCAGGTGGCAGGCTTGCTCTACAAAGATGGCTTGGCCAGAGCATTTACCTGGCAATGGAAAGATGTGTTGGAGGGTGCCAAATTTTCCCACCTGGGATTTCAAGGCCATCGTACGTGGCATTAAAAGCAGGACTGGGCTTTCTTGTGCTGGCACCCAGACCCTGCCAGGTTCTCAACTCCAAGGGCACCTTGGGTTTTTTGGAGATTCTCCTAATGGGGTCAATCACCTCTAACATCTTGGGGAGGTGTGTTGTATTATTTCTTGGGAGCCTTGGCAGAAGGAATGGTGAGCTCAATAATCCTAGAACCCAAAGGGAATTTCAAGGCCCTGATTCTGGAGGGGGAAAATAGCCCCATAAGGCGACTGACAGGAGGGTTTGGCCAGGGTGGAAGGGGCAGGGGGAACAAGGATATTCTGCTCTGCTTACTGCTTATACCCGCTCCCTAATATCCCTCCTCCCCACAAACACACTCGAAGCTCAACCTTGTCCATTACATCTCTGAAAAGACCTTCTGGGATTTCCTTTGAGGGCCAATAGAATAGCAAAGAAGGGAGAGGGCAGACCACTTTCCAGTTGTACGATTATGAGCAACCCACTCGACCTATTCCTTTATGAGGATGACAATCCATTGTACTCTAGATCACCATGAGGAACTTGTAAACCTGGATGCACTAGACACAGGGCAAGTGTTTTCTTTTGGACTCGATCTGTGATTTCATTAGTATCGGGAATTCCCAATGAGAAAACTTTGTCTACCAGTGCTACTTGGCAGCTCCTTTGGTAATTGAGTAGTCTTAGGGAGTGGCTGGTAAGGATAGGTTAAGTTACTTGCCTGGGTCATTCTGACATCAGCTCTTATTCACTAGGCCATACTGAGGCTCAAATATGAATCATGAATGTCGGCATTTGTATCATGCTTTAAAGTTTGCAAAGCGTTTCCCAGATGACTCATTTGATCCTCACAACGACCCTAGGAGGTAGGAACTAGTATTATCCCCATTTTACATATGGGGAAGCTGGAGAAGATAGTGATTAAGTGAGACTTGCCAGAGGCCTCATTTGAACTCACATATCCCTGACTCCGGACTCAGTGGCTCTATCTACTGAACCACCTCTATTAACCCTTTCAATTTTCTTTGATGGATGGAATAGACCCAAGAAGCTGAGTTGACATATGAGGAATATGAGGTCCTTTGCTTTCATCTTTCAGATAGAATAGTGTATCTTTTCTGGGCCCCTGGGAAGCCCCTAAGATAATCATAGGTTATTAGAGGTTGGAGGGAGCTCAAAGAACATCTAGTCCAATCCCTTCATTTTATCTATGGGAAAATGAAACCCAGAGAGGTGGAATGCCTTGCTTAAAAAGCAGCTAAACAATGCAGTGGACAGATGTCAGACCTTCAGTCATGGAGACCTAAGGTCAAATCCAGCTTCAGGCACTTATTGTGTGACCCTGCAAGTCACTTAACCTCTGTTTGCCTCAGTTTCCTCAACTGTAAATGGGGATGATAACAGTACTTACCAGGCGAGGTTTTTGAGAGGATTAAATGAGATATTTGTGAAGCATTTAGCAAAGCACCTGGCATACAGCAGGTGCTATATAAATACTTACTCCCTTCCTCTCTTTCCTCAAAGTCAAATAGCAAGAAAGAAAGGAAGAGAATTAGGGTTCAAACTAAAGTCTTCTAAGTCTGGGTCTCAACCTGAGGAATCAACTTGAAATGAGACCCAAACCACAAAGTTTTTCTCTTTTTTTTCCTTGCCCCACATGGTGAATGAATTTTTTAAAAAGCATTTATTATATACCATGTGTCAAGCAATGGGGACACAAGAAGAAAAGTAAGACAGTCCCTGCTCTCAAAGAGCTCACTTTCTAATAAATAACTCATAGAGTTTAGCTTCGGGGTAGATGGAAAAGCCCAGTGGTCCTTAGGATGTAGCAGCAAGGATGATGGCAATATCTTCTGTAGTGTCATTTCCATTGATAAAAAACCACGGTCATTTCTGATGTTGAAGTATTTGACAACGCCAAGGTTTTTGGTGGTGCGATTTTGTTTTTTCCTGGGTCTTTGATAGTTGTGGACGGTGAGGGTGTGTGGCTGGAGCATCTGCAGAGACAAGTACTAGGTCACATATGTGCAAGGTTTTGCTCCCCTGCATGATGGCTTTGGAGAATGGGCTGGAAGTAGGACCAGTAGTTTTGAGGGTAGGGACACTGCCATCCCTTGGGCATTTGGGCACAGAATTCTGAGCTGTAGCCACCAGGGTCTGAGGTAAGGTGTTTTGGGGGTGATGGTAATGGTTTGTCCTTTCTGTATTCCACATCTCATCTCTTCTTCAGGGCATCTTATCTTGCTGCTTTAAGCTGGGCCGGATTACTGGCCTATTAGTGGTAGCTGGTTAGAGGTTGGTGTTCATAGTGTTGAAGGTCATGGAGCCCTTCTTTCCAAGTGTTGTCCCTCTGGATTGTGACTGCAGGGGCCAGGTTGGAAGCAAATTAAGAAAGCCCTAGGAAAAACAAAACACTAGAGGTGGTCCAATATCCAGGAGAATTTGAGAGCTGATGAAAGTACCTTGAAGCAAGACAAAAAGTAAGTAGGATGGCTTATGTATGACAACAGTCCACATTCATAAAGTACTTTAAAATTCATAAAGTGTATCTTCACAACAACCTTATGAAGAAGATAGGACACGCTATTGTGCCACTTTAAAAAATGAGAAGGCAGCCTTTGTGTAGTTAAATGACTTGCCGATGGCCACAAAACTAGGAAGCTTGGGAGCAAGTAGATGAAACTTGGTCTCTTTTTTGATTACACTGTACTTCAACGCAGTGGGAGAAACAGGGAAGTGAGTTGGTTTATTTCGGTCTTGTTTTCCAGTGAAAAAGAAAGTGCTAAATGCTAAGAATGTAAATACAAGCAAAAGATGTTCCCTGCCTTCAAAGAGCTTACATTCTAATGGCAGTTAACACATAAAAAGAAGCTGAATCAGTTGGAAATGGGGAGAAGGTACTTGCTTGGGGGCATGGGAGAAAAGTTCAGAGTCAGGGGTAGAGCCCAGACAGCTGTAAAGACATGGCTGGCATGGGTACTTTCCTGAAAATGGAGGCTCTGGGAGAAACTAGCCAATCAGAGTAAGAGACCGCCCTGGCAGAGTGTACTTCCAGTGTGAGGAGTCCAGGGGTGGAGTGAACTTCTAGGGTTTACTTTATTTATTTATTTTACTTTTTGTATTTCCAGAATAAGCTTTCTAGCATCTGTGATATAAGAGGGAAAGTCCAGAGAGTCAGAGGTGGAGCCCGGAGAATAAAGAAGACATGGCTGTCTTGGGTGTTTTCCTTGCTGGAGGGTCTAGGAGGGACCAACCAATCAGAAGAAAGGACTGTAGGATGGGAATGTACTTACAACGTGAGTAACACTCAAAAAAAAAAAGTGGAATGTTACCCAGCCACCTCAGGGCCAGTGTCATTATTCTTTGGGGTCATTTGAATTGTCCAGGGTCCCTGGTATATATAGTCAGAGCAATCCCAGAGAAACCCAAGGCCTTAATGCATTAATTAATGTACATATATGATAGTTTTCTCCCCATCTGCCACTCACTATGACTTCATTTGTATCTTCCCCTCTTCTTGTAATAATCTGTGGCCATTTAGTGTAACACTGTTACCTGTCCCCTCCTCATGTTCTCTCATCCCCCCAGCCCATCAACCTGACTCCACTCATGTCTCAAATCTAACCTTGCCCACCTCTTCCACTGTGCCTTCCCTAATTCCTGTTCCATAATGAATTCCTTTCTTTTTTTCTCTCTCTCTTTCTATCTATTAGTCCTCATGGAGACCTGGGCTTCCCTCTGACAATATTGCATCCCCAACTACTCCCTCCATCACTGATTGTACCTTATCTTATCCCACCCTTCTACTAAGGTAGAGTCAGAACATTCCTCGCTCTCCATTGTCATTCCTAGACTCTCCCTTCACTTCCTTCATTCAGTTATCATTCCTTTTGTAAAGTCCAGTCAAATACAATTTTTTTTTACCTAATCAATATTTTGGTAACTGCAATATACTGCTCACCCACCTTGCCCCCCCAGCATGAGCATTGTCCCTTCTTTCTCAAGAAGTTCAGCATCTGGTTCCCAATCTTCCTCTCCCTCCGGCCCCTAAACAAAAGGCCTTAATTATCCATGTAGATGCTCCTTCAAACTCCCCAACCTCTCATTTCTTCAACCTTCTCTAGGTCCCATGACCTAATCCTTAACTGCACTTTAGGCACACACGTAGTGATGGTCACACACTAGATCTCACAATTACCAAGTGTTCCACTTTCCTAATTAGAAATTCTAACATTTCCCTATCTGACCACAGCCTCTCATCATCACATCTTTCTCTATGCTTAACCCCTCAGACTTCCATTTTCTCTACCCCCTCAGTACTTTCTTAGGCTATTACTCCTGTTCTCATTTTGCTCTCCCTCCTGTCTTTTTTTTTTTTAAAGGCAGTTGGGGTTAAGTGATTTGCCCAGGGTCACACAGCTAGAAAGTGTCAAGTGTTGGGTCTGAGGCTGGATTTGAACTCGGGTCCTCCTGATTTCAGGGCCAGTGCTCTATCCACTGCACCACCCAGCTGCCCCACCTATCTGTCTTTAACCTGAGAGTTAGCCACTTCAACTTTACATGATACTCTGCTCTTGATTAACCTGGCCCCTTGTCCTAATGATGCTCTTCTCTTGATAAACCTCAGCCCCAAATTACTGCTACCGTCTGCCTTTGCTATTATTTACAAGAGCTGTTGAACAAGGCTGGAGGAGGTCCCACAACCATGCTGATTAGGTAACGTTACAAATACAGCATCCTAACGCAGTTGGGTCTGCATAGCAGTAAGGCAGTGCTCCAACTCCATAACTATTATCAAGGGGAGAAACTGTGGAAAAAGGTCCAGCTTCCTCATCACTACCAGTAACAACCATTGACCAACTGCCACCAATAGGCAGGGGGGTACAGGGGATCCGAGAGTGACAGCACCTCCCAGACCACTGGTCTTGTTTCCAGCCCAGCCTTCATAGTCTGAAGAAGCAGTTCCTGAGAAGGGACTAGACATTCTCATCAACTGCCACTCACAGGGCAGGCAGGCCAGGCCTGCTGAAGAAGCGAGGTATTCTGAGGGAGAGACAGTGGTAAGCAGGTCAAACCATCTCCACCACCTTGACCACTATCTCCCCTCAGACCCTGATAGAGGCTGCCCAGAACCCTGAACCCAAGAGCCTTGGGAATGTCAATGCTTCCAGTCCAGTGCCTTCAACCATCATCCTGGGAAGCAACCCTGGCCACTGCTCCTGCAAGTCCTATACCTGCAGCTACTAAAGACCTAGGAAAGGAAGTTCTTGCCACCAAAGTCCTTGATGCTGCCAAATGGTTCAACTGATGATTTTTTTGAGTGGAAATAACATTGAAGAAGAGTCATTACGATATGCTTTTTGTTGCTGAACCCTACGGATCATGGGATTTTCCCATCTGACTTCCGTATGTGTTATCTCCCCCATTAGAATGTAAGTGCCTTGAGAGCAAAGAATGTCTTACTTTCATATTTGTATTCCCAATGCTTATAGTCTCTATGTGCTTTGTATATAGTAAGCACTTAATAAATGCTTTATTCATTCATTTTCTTCCCTAATTGATTCCCTACTTCCCTCTCTGCAAAAACTATTCCAAACCTTTGTTTTCCCTTAAGTCCTCCCATACCACTCTTCCTACCCTCTCTTGCTTCTTGCTTCACTAGAAATTTGAAGACCTTTAATACGAGCCCCCTCTTCTCCCATTCTCTTCATCTCAAAATCCCTTGACCTCATCTCTCCTTTTCACTAGATTCTGATAAAGAGCTGGCCCTCCTTTGCCAAGGCCAGCCCTTCAGCAGATACACTCGATCCCCTCTTCTCCTGTCTTCTGCTATAGATTGTATCCTCCATCACTGTCCTCCCTTCTTGCAAATCTCCAGTCTCTTCCTGGCAATTTGTACCTTCCCTACTTCCTTCAAAAGTGCCCAAATCTCCCCCATCGTCCTTAAAAAAATGGTCACTAGTCCCTATCATTCCCTTAAATGATTATCCTATACCCCTCCTCCCTTTCTTAACCATTAATAAATGGTGATGGTATTGGTAGGGAATCAGGAAAGTGTTCCATGGAAAGCTGCATCTGGGGTGAGCCTTGAAAGAATCTAGGGATTTCAAGAGGCAGAAGTGAGGAAGGTTTGCATCAGCACAGGGTTCAGCCTGTGAAGGCATAGAAACAGAAGGAGGAATATCACATTTGAGGAATGGGAAGTAGCCAAGTTGGCTGGACCACAAGAGTGTATGAGGGTGAATAATATGCCAAAATCCTGTTTTAAAGGTGGGCTGGAGTTAGACTGTGCAGGCCCTCAAATACCAAAGGAGTTTGTATTTCATCTTAGAGGTGATAGGGAGGCAGTGAAGATTCCTGAGCAAGAGAGTAATAATGTGCATAATACTTTGTATGCTGTTTTTGTATTATGCATTTAATGTCAAAATGCCCCCAAACAAGTCCCTTGCCTCTCTCTTCTCAGTGATTTGAGAATCATTATCCTTTTCTCCTTGATCATCCAGAATCTCTGGCCAATGCCTAGCTTCCTTCAAGGCTCACCCCAGATGTGATTTTCTATGGAACACTTTCAGGCTCTGCTCACTTGACCATGGTGCATCACTAGTACCTGCTCTTTTCCATTTAGTGATCTTCCAATCTCTGCCCTTCTTTCTACCTACTGGCCAACTATAGGCCCTGTCTCCCATTAGGGACCACCAGTCCCTTCTCTGCTGCCCTCAGGGACCATCCCCTCATTTCTGTTCCCCTTCCTTCAGTCGCATGCTAACCTTTGTCCCTCTTCCCTCAATAATGTTTTAATACTTACCATCCTGCCCTTAATGATTTCCTAGGCACTTCTCCGAACTCTTCAGTGATTAACAACTTCCAACCCATCATATTCACCCCCCACCTCAGTGATTTTGAACCCCTTGTTGCTATTTTTCAAACTCTGTCCTCCATCCCGCACTGCTTCTTATTCCCACGTCCCTCAAGCCAACCCTCCAACATCCCATTCTAATGCTACCCACACCCTTCCACTGTGTTCTCTGGAATGTCTGCTTCTTAGGTAACAAGCCAGATTTCATCCCGAATCTTTTCCTTTTTCACTCCCTCAATCTTCTCGTACTCCCTGAGACCTGGCTAGCTTCCTGATGCCACACATTCCCTGGCTATCCTTTCCAGTGCTGGTTGCACTTTTGCTCACAACCTGACTCACTAGTACTGGCAGAAGATTTGGATTATGTCTTCTCTCCATTGTCCCTTCCAGGTTTTCTCTCTACCACCATCATTCAGTAACCCCTCCTCGTCTGAGGTTCATTCGATTTCTATTTATCATCCAATCAAGATCCTAGTAGCAAATGTCTAACACCTCTGGTACATTCGCCTTCCTTCCTCAACGAGTTTAGTGTCTAACTCATAGTCTTTCTCTCCTTCCCAACTCCTGCCCTTTTACGAGGGAACTCCTCATCAGACATCTTAAACTTGATGTCCTGTAGACATCTTAAACTCTGGAATGTCTAAAACTGCACTCATTATCTTTACCCCCTCCCCCATTGTTCCCTTCTTCTTAGCTTTATTACTGTTGAGGGTTCCACCATCTTCCCACTCCCCAAGACTCATAATCTAAGAAGCATTATCCTCTCATTCTCCACCCTCCTCCATATTCTAATCTATTGCCGTGGCCTACCTTCATGACTCCTCACTTGTACGTCCCCCTTCTCCTCTGACACTACTACCATACTGGGGTAGGACCTCACCATCTCATACCCGGAGTACTGAAATGATCTGCTGATTGTTCTCCCTGCCTCAAGTCTCTGCTCACTACCGTCATTCTTCCAGTCTGCCATCAAATTAATCTTCCTAAAGCACAGGTCTGACCATGTCAATCCCTCACCCCTTTATTTAATGAACTCCAGTGACTCCCTATCACCTCCAAGATCACATATAAAATCCTCTGTTTGATGTTCAAAGGCTTTCATAATCTGGTTTGCTCCCACCTGTCCAGTCTTCTTAGATCTTACTCACTTCCACATATTTTGCAATCCAGTTGCACCGGCCACTTTGCTGTTCTTCCCTCTCACAAGTTCTCTAGATCTTGATTCTGGGTGTTTTCAGTGATTGTCTCTGCTTTCTGAAGCTTTCTCCCACCTCATTTCTGCCTCCTGGCATCCCCGATTTCCTTTAAGTCCAAGCCAAAATTTCACCTTATGCAAGAAGCCTTTCCCAGTCCTCCTTAATCTTAATGCTTTCTCTCTGTTGGTTATCTCCAATTTGTCCAGAATGTATCTTACTAATACATAGTTGTTTTCCTGTTGTCATCTCCCCTCCCTCATTTCCATGAGACTGTGGACTACTTGTGAGCTGAGTCTTTTACCCTTATTTGTAACCCTACTGCTTAGCACAGTGCCTGACACACTGTAAGTAGGTGTTTAACTACTAGTTAATCAACTAACTCCTCAATGACTTTCTAGTCTTTGCCCCTTTCTACTCAATGTGGTAGCTATTTTCTTCCTAGTTTCAAGCCTGTTTCAGAAATACTGATGACCAGTTAGGTCAATCTGCTCAAATGCACACCACATCCCACCCATATACCTGTGCGTGCCCAGATCCATTCTAAAAGTCCCTAACTGGAAATACGCAGTTCTCTGCCTCTGTATTTGTCATTGACTCATGTCCCCTTCACTGAAGCCACAGAAATTCACTGAGGGCTCATAGCAATTTGTAGCGATTTTGGAGTTGTGCTGGTAGAGCGAATGGTGGTGGTGTCAGCTCAGCCTGTTGTCCAGGCGGGCTCCCTGTGTCTTTTTTCAAGCAGTTCTACAAGGATGACATGGGAAACAGAAACAAGGAGAGACAGAGAGAGGCAGATAGAAGGAGAAAGAGAGAGGAGGCATAGAAGCAAAGGAGAAATGAAGACTCAAATCAAGGCAGAGGAAATAAGAGACAGAGAAGGAGAAAGAGAAAAGAAAAAGAGAATAAGTGAAAGGAAGAAAGAAAACTAAAGAAGTAAGAGAAACAAATGAGAAAATTTTAAAATGAGAGAGACCAAAAGATAGAGATGGTGGGGGAGGGGAGCAGGAGGGAGAGAGAGAGAGAGAGAGAGAGAGAGAGAGAGAGAGAGAGAGAGAGAGAGAGAGAGAACTGAGAGTAATGGTGCTTATTTACAAGGCAGAGAATTAGAGATAGGGAGGGAGAGGGAGAAAGGAAATCACAAAGAAATGGAATTAGAGAGGATAAAAGAGAGGGGCAGAAAAAGATTTTTAAAAAGAAAGACTAGAGAGACAGAGAGAATAAAAGAAAACAAGAGGTAGGGAGGTAAAGAGAAATGAAGAGGGAAAGAGGAAAAAAGGAAGAAAGGAGGGAAGGAAGGAGGGAAGACAAGAAGGCGAGAAGGAGAAAAAGAAGAAGGGAAGGACAGAGGAAAGGAAGGAAACAAGGGAATGAGGGAGGGAAAGAAGGAAGAAAAGAGAGGATAAAGAAAGAAGAGACAGAGGGAAATAGAAAGAAACACGCAGAGAAAAATGAGGCTGGCCATTGTGTTTTGGGTCACTATAGGATTTTGTTCCTCCCCAACTTTACTACCTGCCAGAGGGACAGCCAGAGTGAGGTTTGAGAGAGAAGCAGCTTATAAGACAGAAGAGGGCGGAGCGTGGGGCAGAGGACTAAGCACCTCCTTTTCCTTACTCTTACCCCCAGACCTCATCTCTAAGGTCCCAGAGGCTTCGTCTAGCAGGGGAGGGGGTTTGAGGCACATGGAGAGGGCTGAAATGTCGACTTCTGCCGATTGCCACCCTCCCAGCCTGACCCAGCTGCCTCCCTGCCCGTTTCCCTAGTAACTGGCAGTTAGTTCCCCAGCGAAGGCGTCGCCTGCTGTGACAGACAGGCCGCTGTCATTGTCAGCGCACACTCACACTCACTCGCGCACATGCCAATGCTCAGAGCGTGGAGTGGGTGTGTTGCGGGGGGTGGTGGTGGTGAGAGGAGGCACGGGCCGGCTCCAGGGGTAATTAAAACATGTACCATTTAGCCGGAGACAACAATCAGAACTTTAATTACTCACTCCGAGAGTGCGGGAGATGCCTGGGGGGGAGGAGGTGGGTGGGCGCGTAGTGCGTATCTGCTTTCCTCCTTTCCCCTCCATTTGCCCAGCTTGGGTTGGGGAGGTGGGAGGTGGGCCTAGGAAGGGGGGGTGGGGAGAAGGAAAGGGGGAGGAGGGCGAGAACCGGAGGGTGAAACCTGATTGTGTTCATTAAGGCAACACAAAACTGGGAGCCGTAATAATAATTAAATTAATTATAAAAGCAATTTGCTTTTGAAAATTTGATTTGACAGCTTACTAGGGGCTGCACTGATCCAGCCGCCCGCGCTTAAAATAGTCAGAACAAAAACCTACTAGAAGAACCATCAGCTAATTTTAATTAGATGCCAGGATCAGTAAACAAAATTCCCCACCACCCTTTCATTGTGTCTGACTTTGATTTAAGGAGATGTCGGGATTGATTTTTGGAGAGGCCAGAGGAAGTGAAGGTGCTGGTCTGAATGGGAAGGGGCAGCTCTGGGAGCAGGGCCAGGGCCAGGCAGCCTCAACACACCCAGAGGGTGTATTGGGAAGGATCCTTCTGCCCTCCAAGCTCTCTGATGGAAAAGCCCATGTCTCTCCTTTGACTGGGAGGGCTGACTTATTCGACCTTGAGAAAGACATCCAACTTCTGTGTACCTAGGTCAAGGGAGCTCTTATCAACAAGATGGACCACATCAAATCACGGTGATAAACTAGTTGAAAGTTTGGAAGTACTGACAGAAACAGCTGAGTGCTGTCTGAGAGTCAAACAGTATGGTATAGTGGAAATTCCATGAGCCCTAGAGTCAGGAGATCTGAGTATAAGGCCCAACTCTGACTCTTACTGGGCAGTTAGGTGGCAAAAGGGATAGAGTCCAGGGCCTGGAGTCAGGAAGATTCATCTTACTGAGTTCAAAAGTCACTTAATCCTGTTTGCCTCCATTTCCTCATCTATAAAAAGAACTGGAGAAGGAAATGGCAAACCTCTCCAGGATCTTTGCCAATGGGGTCATGAAGAGTGAGATGAGACTACCCAACACAGACTCTTGCTTAGTCGGATAACTGTAACTTTAACAATTAAGACCATGCCCACTTAAAAATAGACTTTGCACTTTGGTCTATTGTATTTACTGAAAGTATAAGAAAATGAAGAGCGACACAGACAAATCTATTTTCTTAAAAGTATAAGAAAATAAAAGACATCTCTGGGTCTTTGCTCATCAGTAAAACATGGATAAAAAATAGTTGCTTTCCATACCTCAAAGAACAGTTCTGAGGTAAGTGACATAGAATCATGAAAGGCAACGTGGTATAATGGATAGAGCCCTAGACTTGGCATGAGATCAGGCATCTCACACTCAGTGCGTCCAAAATGGAATTCATAATTTTTTCTCCAAACCTTTCCCTCTTTCAAACTTCCCTATGAATTAGTTAAGGGCACTACCATCCTCCCAGTCCCCTAGACTTGCAACTTAACTGCCATCCTCCACTCCTCACCCCATTCACTCATTCCAATCTGTTGCCAAGTCATTCCTACCTTGATGACATCTGTCCAATATATGTCCTCTCTCCCCTCATACAGTTGCCATCCTGGTGAAATCCGTACCATGTCATGCATAGACTATTGCAATAGCCTTCTGGTTGGCCTGTCTGTCTCAGTCTCTCCCCAATCTAGTCTAACCTACTTAGCTGCCAAAGTGATCTTCCTAAAGCACAGGTCTGATTAAGTAACTCCTCTTCTCCATAAACTCCAGTGGTTCCCTATTATCAACAGAATCGAATATAGGTCAAAAAATAGGCATTTAAATCCCTTTATAAACAGGTCTTTTTCTATTTTTCCAGACTTCTTATGCTTAACAGAAGTGATATTCAAACCCAGATTTTCTGACTTCAGTCAGTACTCTTTCCAGTGTACCACAGTGCTTTGCGGATATTTGAATTTTTTCTTCTGAGCCTCTCTGATCCCTAACATCCTTAAGAAGCAGTGACTTGTGGCAGCTTTGGATGAAGGTCTGAGGGATTAGAATCTGGCAGGAAATGGGAGTTTTGGTATTGACTCTTGCACTGATTTTCTTAATCCCTCTGACCTCTCCCTTCCTGACATCTTCAACCTTTCTTTCTCTACCAGTTCTTTCTTCCTTCTTCCCTCCCTCCCTTCCTTCCTTTCTTCCTTCCTCTCTTCCTCTCTTAATTTCTTTCTTTCCATTCAAAATCTTTGTTTTCCTCTCTCTCTCTCTCTCTCTCTCTCTCTCTCTCTCTCTCTCTCTCTCTCTCTCTCTCCTCCTTTCTCCACTCTCCTCTCTCTCTCTCCTATCTATCTCTCATCTATCTATAGTCTCCCTTACAGAATAAATCTTCTGGAGGATAAGAACTGCCCTTTCCCATTTATTTTTGTATCTCTAGCACTCAGTACATTGACTGGCACATAGTAAGTGCTTAGATAGTAATGTAGATAGAGCGTTGGGCTTGGAATCAGGAAGAGTTCAAATCCGGCTTCACACTTACTGTCCGTGTGACCCTGGGCAAGTCACTTAACCCTGTTAACTTAGTTCCTCATCTGTAAAATGAACTGGAGAATGAAATGGCAAAGCACTCCAGTATTTTTGCCAAGAAAACCCCAAAATGGAGTCACAAATTGGACACGACTGAACAGCAGCAACAATAAATATTGATTGATTAATTAATGACTCCACCTTGAACTGATTCATTCAGCTTATGCTTTCTTTAACTCTGCTCCAACCTCCACCTTCCCACCCCTGCTTCTTAAAAATACCTTTGAGAATTGGGGGAAGAAGAAAACTAGGGTTGGGTGAGATGCAATCATTCTCCTTGGATAAGGATAAGTATAGGTATATGCAGAATCCTCCTCCCTCTTACCTTAACTAGACTATAACCTCCATGAAGGCAGGAGGGCATGTAAATTTTGTCTGTCTTCCAGTATCTAGCACAGCATTTTGCACAAAGTGATTAATGCATAGTTGTAGAATGAATTTTTTAATTCTAGAGAGACTTTCATACCAGGCTAAAGAACGTTGACTTTCTTTGCTAGGCAATGGGGAGTCAATGGAGGTTTTTGATAAGTGGCATAATGTGATTAGAGCTATGCTTAGGAAGATTTATCTGACAGTATTGACTAAGAGGAGGTAGAGTTTGATGGTGGTGGTGGTAGGAGTTCAGGAGACCAGTCAGGCAGATGGCTCTTACAAAATTTTAGGTTTGTGGTGTCTTTCAAAGGTGAGTTTGAAGTTTTGAACTTGGTTGACTAAGAAAATAATATTACCCTTATTAGGTAGCTAGTGGCACAGTGAACAGAGCAATGAACCTAGAGTTTGAAAGACCTGAATTCAAATCCTGCCCCAAACACTTACCAGCTGTGTGATGCTGGGCAAGTCATTAATTTCTGACTGGCTTAGTTTTCCCAACCATAAAATGGTGATCCTAGCATCTACCTTCCAGGGGCATTATAGGGGTCAAATGAGATACTATTTTTAAAGTTCTCGGCACATTTGTTGTTGTCATTGAGTAGTTGCAGTCATGTCCAACTCTTTGTGACCCCATTTGGGGTTTTCTTGGCAGAGATACGGGAGTGGTTTGCCATTCCCTTCTCCAGTCCATTTTACAGGGAGGCAAACTGAGGTAAACAGGGTTATGTGACATGCCCAGGGTCAGACAGCTAGTCAGTGTCTGATTTGAACTCAGAAAGATGAGTCTTCCCGATCCTAAGCCCAGCGCTCTACCTGTCGCACCACCTACCTGCCCTCTTGGCACATAGTAGATACTTAACAAATGTTTATTCCTTTCCCCCCATTAAGTAAGTTAGGAAAAGAAGCCAGGTTTGGGTGATTTGAGGTACTTGAGAAGAGTTCAGTTTAGTCCTGTGGTTTCCTTA